CTCTCAATTATAGATTTTATGGACTTGGCTCTAGACTAGATTATCCCACACTATGTCATTTACTTTAGGCTTATTATACTAACACTCACTACACTTATAAGGTTTTATGGTACCTACCCCTCACCGCCCCCTTGCATCCCCGTCACTAAAATCATAATGGGCAGACAGTAATCGAACTATTCTATCTGGATAGATGCATTTTGTCTTTTCTGACTCCTCCTATTTCGAGAAATCAAGAGTGGCGTGATGTGACACACACTGGCTTTTATATAGGTTAAATAGCTCCTTGTTAATCGTAATTTTAATTGGCTCTAGTGTTAATAAGATTAAAGATTCTACCAGCATCTGGTATTAACAAGATATCATAGCTTACGGGATTCTACATTAACACAAATCCATATGGTGTGAAATTCTGCAGGACTGTGCATTAAAAAGTATTTCATGTGGTGCAAGATTCTAATAATTATATCAACGTGAATCCATAAGATGCGAAACTCTAACAGAATGTATGTTAAAATCATTTCATGTGGTGTATAATTCTAATAATTATATCAACATGAATCCATAGGATGCGAAACTCTACCAGAATGTATGTTAAAATCATTTCATGTGGTGTAAGATTCTAATAATTATATCAACATGAATCCATAAGATGCGAAACTCTAACAGAATGTATGTTAAAATCATCTCATACGGTGCGAGATTCAATGTTCGCTGTATTAAAATGATTTCCGTAAATTTAAGGTATTTTTCTTTTGCAGGAATTCCAAACGATCTCAAACTCTACTGGCAGCAGTACCCTTGGCAACTCGGAGAGACAGTGTGCAAATTACGAGCCATGGTGGCGGAGATGACAAGCTACGCTTCAGTACTGACAATTGTGGCATTTACCACAGAACGCTATATTGCTATATGTCACCCTCTAAGTATCCAGACTCTTTCTTCCCTTTCCAGAGCGATTAAAATAATCATGTCTGTATGGGTTGTGTCATGTATTAGTGCAGTGCCTTTTGCCATCTTTATCAAAGTGAATTACGTGGATTATCCTAAGGGTTCAGGAAACAATCTAGAAGAATCAGCTTTCTGTGCTCTTCCAATGGAAAATAATGAAGTTAGCTTGCCCCTGTTGCAGTTCTCCATTTTTGCTTTCTTCATTCTTCCGATGTCATTAATCATTATTCTTTACGTTAAGATAGGATTGACGTTGCGGAACTCTCGCTTCAGTAGAGTATCGTCTGGGGAATCCTCGAAACATTCGCACTCTAGAATCGACTCCAGGAAACAACTTTCTCGGCGCTCAGTCCATAAAATGCTAGGTAGGTTAGTAAAAGGAGAAATTATGTTAGTAACAGGAGGGAATTTCAGTTGAATAATAAACAAAAAACACAAGTATCTATCCAATCAGATGTTTAGAAATCTACAAGTTCCAACCTGAAGAAAAATAAGGTTTTTGACCAGTTCTGCTGGATTATAATAATATCGCATGTTTATAGACTTGAAAGGTCCAATTAATTAACCAAGTGTTTGTAGCTTTAGCTGTGGTATTTCGAGAAATTAAATTTTTAAACACT